TCCCTTCCCATTCACCCAGTGATGCTCACAGGCATCCTCAGCCTAAGCGGTATTTACACTGCTATTTTCAGTACTGCAAAACTTAAATAGTGCCTAATCACAGGAAACACAATGCAGGTAGTAAATCATAACAAACAAGGTTCTCTGTCTTAGGTTTAAAGTGTGCTCAAATCTCACAGTAGCCAGAGAGATGAGAGAACAAGCCAGGCTGGCTGCAGCTATTTGAAACAGGTAAGTCAGCACCCCAGTCCCAGCCAAGTCAAGGAATCTGCATTGCCCAACGATTCCAGACCTAAAYCTCTCCCAGAACAATTTATTTGCTGATTAAATACAGCAATTTTTGTCACACCACCCAGCTTTCCTGCTTGTAAAAAGAGAAGATGTGTTTGAGCAAGCAGGAGATTTCTTCAATACAGTTAAAAATTAGGAGTAATAAAAAATAAATCTACCAAGTTGCTCAATAAACTGAAACTTCAGCCTCTTCCAGGAAACGTTCCCAGCTCAGAGAGAAGACAGAGTGTATGCTAAAAGTAAAAAAGCATTCTGCTGCAGCATTCAGCCTTTAAAATTAAACCCAACAGCTTCTCTCTGTTATTTAAATGAACTCCTCAAGCTCAGAAGGGCTATGACCATGGCCTAAGTTACTTAACTCACATTTTTATTGACTGACTTGCATAAAAATAAGCCACATTAAGGACTGAGCTGACATTTGGTATACATCACCACAAAACTCATTTCAGATCAAACATCATTCATACAACCTAAGAATATTTCCAGCTTTCTCCCACCCAAGAAAAGGATTTTCAGATTTACATTATCCTCACAAACTCTGGTCTTCTGAAGCACAAGCAGTGCAGAATCAAAGGATTAAAAGAACACCAGGATTTTTATTTTTTGATAATCTGCCTCTGAGTGTGTTATGTGCCAGGAGCAAGTTAACCTGTAACTGCAGTTTAACCAGCACCRTTTTCTCATGATTTGCCAATGTTTCATGCACCCACACACAGAGAATCCCTCTCCAGGGATCAATTCTGGTCAGTTGGAGCAGCACTGTGGCTTCTCCAGCCCAAGTGACCTTCAAGCATCCACCTGTTGCCTTTGAAAGACTAGACTGGACCTTATTTTTTAATAATTCACACAGCAGTCTCAACAAGCARGAACTGTCTCTTCCCATTAAAGAAGCAGGCTCGGCATCCAGCGGAGCAGCTTCCAAAAGACTTAATCCAGATCTTTCAGGGTCCAACATAAATTGGTTTATCCATCCATGAACCTTTCAGAGGCCTCACATGGAGGCAGGACAGACACAGCTCTGGGTGTCACCTCCTGCATGGGGAAGGAACTTCCAAAGTTGAATGCCACAATGTGCCAGGTGACAAGTTGTGAGGAAGGAGGAAAAATTTTTAAAAACGCACTAAAAAAAATAACTATCTAAAACCGACTAAATGGGTGTTTTCTYATTAGCAACTGAGTTATCCTCTTCGGCACACAGGAGGTTGGGGGGGTTGTTAATTAAWGTGAAGTAAGGCAAATTATGAAAGGCTTTGCTAAAAGCCAGTCTGTGGGAGAGGTGGCCTTGGGAATTCTCCTAGGAAAGGTGGAGAGGAGACCCCATGAARGGGTAGAGTGGTCTTGCAGGGTGGAAGGGGGCAGCACAGGGAGGGGGAGGAAGAGAGGAAACCCTGGGAAAGGCTGGGAAGGGGGAAAGGTGTCACAGGGATGCCCAAAGACAGGGAAGGTGCAGAAGAGACCCCAGGAGAGGGGCTGGGAGGGGGGAAGGGGCGTCACAGGGACCCCCCCACACACACTGGGAAGATGCAGAAAAACCCCACAAATGGGTAGAGTGCAGGAGAGAGGTATTGGCATGGATCCCCCAATCGGGAAGAGTGCAGAAGGGACCCCATGAAGGGTCAGGGTGCTGGAGGGGGTGGTGAGTGTYACCTTCCATGGGGTAAAGTGCAGGAAAAACCCCAGGAAGGAGCAGCGTGCCCTGACCTGCCGGAAAACGGGAGGGAGACAGTGACAAACCTCCAAATTTATGTCACCCCAAAGGGGCTGAAGCACCCCATGCCGGAGGGGCGGGAAAAAATATAAATAAACAAAAGMGCAAAGAGGCTTTGTCGGGCCACAGAGGTGGAAGCGGAACTGAAAAACGGTGGATAAAAGTTAAGCAACGCCGGGAGCTCGGGCCCGGCCGCCCTTCCCCTCACAGCCAGGCCGGGGAGGGGGCGAAGGCGCCAGGGGAGGGGAGGGGAGGGGAGGGGAGGGGATCCCGGGCCCAGCCGCGGGTGTGCGGCCACACACACACGGTGCCGCCGCCGCCCCGTTACCTGTGAGGCGGATCTTGATGCTGGATCCGTTCCGGCGGGTACCGGGATTCGACATCGCGCCTGGAGGTGGAGGAGGAGGAGGAGGAGAAGGAGGAGGCGGCGGCGGCGCCGATCTCAACCGGCGGCCCCGCGCGCCCCCGCCATGCGAGCCCGCCCGCTCCTCACGATGCCGGGGATCCCCGGGCCCGCGTTCCGGCGGCCGCCGCAGGCTCGGTGCCTTCAGCCCCCTCAGCC